AGCTTGAGGTCCCACTGCGCAACAAAGCTGCATAAAGTACTACATAAATGGTGACATGCCAAAAAAGGGAGCGCTATCGGGGGGGCGCTATACAGGGACCCCCCTACTGTATATTGAAAACACAGCCAACACATGGACACCAAAATCACCTGTGCCGTCTTGTTGTTCCGCGAGTTCCCCATCGTCGGCCCACCTCTGGCGCCATTACTACGCGCACCATATCCGTCGGCCGTTCAAGGCACCCATCAATCAAGCAACATCAGCGCGCACAACACGGCGTAAGGCGGGCTAAGCCTGAGTGGTTCCGGCTGCCTGTTCTGCTCCAACCGGTGCCACGGCTTGCGGCAAAGGGGAACAGACATCCCAAGGGTGAGTCCTCTCAAGAAGGGCCCCATTCTCTTCACGGAACCGTTCTCTTCAGGGGGACCATCACTGGACAATCTGGGTCCGGCATCTTCCCTGGAAGGGCTGTGGATCGGTCACGAACGGGTTCAGGGACAAGCGATCAAGGGTGCCGGCTGAAGGGATCGATTGCGGCAGATGGGGCGCTGCCTGATGCCAGCTCCGTCGGGGGAGAAGCGTCGACCACGATGGATCGCAAAACAAGGAAAGGCGGGGGGCGCAACAGAGCGACGGCGTGCGACTGTGTCGGGCGCGTGGGGATGGGATGGTCCACCGCTTGTGGGGCGGCTCGCCAGGCCACGACGGGACGGCGCAACCGCCGGGAAGCGTGTCGATTGCAAAATGATCACAGGAAATTAAACCCGACGGCGTCGCTCCAAGGGGGCCGCGTCGATTCCGGCCGCGCTTGCAGAGCGTCCGCGGGGCGCGCATCCGCCCGAGATTACCCAAGGGAGGCGTGCCACGGCATCTCGATCGGCTTTTAGCGCCTTCAGCGGATCCTCAAGCCCCGCGGGCGATTGCACCCACGCCCCGATCGCCCGAATCCACTTTCGAAAAGTCGCGGATCATCGATGGGTCGAAGGCCTCACGTTAGGCGTGCACGTTGCGTGACAACGCCAAAATGTTGTGGCGCGGCCGGTTGAAATTCGAGCAGAGAAGGTCCTCCGCGCCTAACTCGACTCGCTCGCTCGCATCCAGCCCTGGACTCCAGGCAGGCTGGCTCACCTTCCCCAACAACCGCCTCGTGCGCGGCAAACCCGTCGAAGGAAGACGCCGCCCTGTCCAGCAATGGGCCACCGTTCCTTGGATGGCCCGAACCGAGGGATGCGCACAAGCTGCGTTGCGGGGCCCTCCTTCGCCTTTTCGCGCAGCGAGGCCTGCTGAATTCGCCGCCCTCTTCGCCCTTATCAGTGAGAGGCGAGACGCGAGGTGGGGCGAAGTGTGGCTGCTGAAATCAGAGCGATGATGTGCGCCGTTGCGTACTGCTGGCCAAGAGGCAAGAATTTGGTTGGCGACTACAGTCAGGGCTTGAGCCGAGGGACGGCAGGTAAGGCCGCGGGCAGTGTAATGAAGCGAATCACATATCCGACTCAGCGCGGAGGCTGCGTGGGTGCCGGGTGAGTAACAGCATCACGTTTATGAGCCTTTCGGCCTGTCAACCGAGATAGCGGGGTTGTGTGGGGTATGAGGATCTGGGGGAGTGATATTGGGGAGCTTTGTCAGATGTCGCTGAGGGTTGAAGAATCCCGGCCCATACTTACTCACCATGCTTGGGCGCTTTGTTGATTTTGCGCGAGTTTTGGTGTACTGGAATCGGGGCTGTCGCTGGGAAGCCCAATGGTACAAGGTTGGGCGTCGGCCGGAACTAGAGATTGTTGCGTGAGCAGCGCGCACTGTACCTGCAAAGCGTGCATTCAATAGTAAAAACTGAATCAGATAACATTTTCTGGGGGCACATATGAAATGCATTTATCAATGTTCTGCGCACTAATAACACAAGAATAACCCAAACCTGCTAACTTTGTACACGTTTGAACATGCGTTATTTGGCCCTTTTTTCCCTAGCGATTATAAACATAGCGTCGTGATTGGCTGGGAGCTCCCTTGAGGGGTGCACGAGGCACTCAGGCTATCACACCACTGGGGGATCACAGGTGGTTGGAAGCTGTGCTGCCGCTGGGGCGATGGACCTTTCCGGGGACTTGGGGGGCAAATCTACGTAAAGCACAAATAATGCAAAAGAATGCTACGACGCGGCATTGTCCCTTTTGTGCAAGACGCCTCCCGAGGGCTGGCCGCAGATGGCAAACGCCAGCGCTCTTTTCGCCCTTTTTTGATGCCCGGCTTGATCGCCCTCACTGGGGAGCAATCAACAAAGGCCTCATCAAAACGCCTCAGTGATTGCACTGCAACCGTAGCAGCGCCACTAACACATATAATTGTGGGATCACAGCGCCAGGCGTGCCATTACCAGCCCAAGCTTTGGGCCAAGCCCGCAATGGGATATCCACGAAGACCACAACCACACGTTCAACACAGGCTGATGAGTGTGCTTAGAAATTCTATCTGGAGTCGTTTCTAGTTCACTTGCTATCAGCCAACAGATCAATCCGTTGGGGGATCCGTTGGCTGAGTCCATTGGCTCATGCACGCAGTCTAGACTATACAGTCTAGATTCTCCAGATCTGGAGGAAGGTGTGCACCAATCGGATATTTACCACTTTGAGTGGATGTTAATAGCATCCCCATCCCCGAAGTCCCCTTCCCAGGCCAGAGGGGTGTGCTCATGGTGGGAATCGACCCACAATAGCATTGTCCTGATTATGCGATTCGGTGCCATTGAGCGCAAGGGTACAAAGACCTACGGCAGCGGATCAGTGCGCTGGATGTGGCCGCCACGGCGATCAGACACCCGTGCGTTCACAACGTTCTCAGCGATTACCCACAGGGTGCGCACAGGTCGCACTTGTGTGGATTGGTCACTTTTCCAGCTGCTGAGGAGGGGAAATGCAGGCTGCAGACGAACTGCGAGCGAGAGCGGCATGAGCACACAAACAATGCAATCCTGGATCCTACCACACCAGATTCGTCCAGCCTATTCACACACCCCGAGCCATCCTCCAATGGCGCCAAAATATCCCAAGCGCCCCCAGATCAACCAGCAGGACTCCCGAACCCATGCGACAGCCCCCCCACCCCCACCCCCACCCCCACCCCCACCCCCCCCACACACACACAAAAAGAAGAAATCTACAACCCGCCTCCCACTCCGGCTGCCACAGTCCACCTCACTACACATGTTTTCTGTGTATGCCGTGTGTCAAGATGGCAAAGTCCCCGGAACCGATGGGCGCACAATGGACCAATTCCTCCCAAGTGCGGGTGGATGTGTGGGCGCGGTCATGATGTTCGCTATGCGTGTGTGGGTGTACATACCCGCGGTGTGGGAATGAACGTGAATGCCGCCTTGAACGAAGGAAGAAAACCCAGGGAAATGACAAAGGAGTTCCTCTGAGAGATATCTTGACAAAAGGGGATCCTCTGACCGCTCCCTGTATATCAGATGCGTTGCCAGACCGGCGCTAGGCCGGCGTCGTTCGGCAAGATGGTCTTACTAGGAGCCCCACAGATGACCCCCTTTAAAGGACAAAATTTTGTCAATTTCCCCCTTGGTGGTTGAATTTCAATCAGATGTTTGCATCCCTAGCAAGAGTTGTCCCATGCAAGTCAGTTCGCACTCACAAACACCCTATTCGCCTACACATCCGTGCTTTTCTTTGCTACGAGCGCATTTGCAAATGCCGAGAGAGGCTCTGCCATAGCTCCGATTTCTCCTTGCTCTCACTGCAGCCACGGTTGCCGCTTGGTCTCCCCCACTGCTCCAATCGCTGCGTGCTCTCTCCAGCAGCTCGGATTGCTGCTTGGTCTCCCCGGCAGCCCCGATCGCCGCGACTCTCCTTCACACCCCGATCGCTGTGGCGCCCTCCCAAGGTGCCGATCTGGTGCCGGTTTGCTGCTGGTCTGGCAACGCATCCAATGTACAGGGGTCGGTCAGAGGGGCCCCCTTTCGTCAAATGCACACCCGCAGAGGACCCCCTTTTGTCACGGAGGACCCCCTTTTGTCATTGTCCCTAAAACGTCACACTTCCGAAGTACAAGGTTTGCCTTTCCCGCGTGCAATGGACTCCTCACTTTTCGCCGTTGTACCGCAAAATCGACGGCAAAAACCTCAAAGCTCGCACGTACTGCCCGTCCTTCCTCCCGCAGCAAACCCGCAACTGACGCCATAAGTTCTGCCCCCGCCCAAGGCGGGCACGCCCTCCCCCACACAAAACAATGCCGACCTCCACCCAGCTGCTGCCCGCGCTCCTGCTCGCGGCGCTGGCCGCGACCAGCGGCCAGCCGGTGGCCACGCCGGCCGCCCCTGGGCCCTCATCCCAGCCTGCCTGCCTCGACTGCCCATCATTTTGCGATTGCTCTCCCTCGGACGGCGTCTGCCGGTGCCAATCCTGCCAGTTCTGCCCAGCGCCCTGCGCCTGCAGCCAGCCGGGGCCATCTCCGCAAGATGGCGCCGAACTCGAGGATCCGAGCCTGAGGGACCCATCGTGCTCGTGCCCGGCGTGCGAGCTGGACTGCGGGCCGGGGTGCGAGTGCACGTACGGGCTCGATGGCGGGCAAACCTGCGGCAGGTGAGAATTGCAGCACTTGAAAGATAGCGGGGCGCAAAACAGGCAGCCCCTGCTGAGCAAGTACACGCAAGGCTGTCTTCCATGCTGTAAAGTGCGGCAAAATTTGGAAGAGAACGCGTTGTGTCTCCCGCGGGCAGGCGTTGGTGGGAGATTCGCCTCTGGTCGAAAGGCAGCGGGCCACGCAAAGGGCGGCCCCTGATAGGGAGGCGCACGAGGCTCCTTTCCGCGCCGCAAAATGCGGTGAACATTTGACGAGGTGGTTTGGAGCCTCCCGCGGCAGGCGCGCGTCGGGAAGCGGGCAGCACGATTCCCCCCCCCCCCCCCCTTTCCCCACTTCTTTCTCTGCCGAGCACGTGCGTGGGAGCCTCTTTTCCTTTTTTTGAAGTGCCGTGGACTCTCCTGGCGCAGGTGCGGGTCGTGCCCGGTGGAGTGCCCCGATCGGTGCGACTGCGTGCCGGCTCCCGGCGGGATCGCGACCGAGTGCAACTGCTACTTCTGCGCCGTGAGCTGCGGGAGCGGATGCTTCTGTTCGCCGACCAAGGCGGGCGGCGAGTGCACGTGCCCGCCGCCCAGCCCCACGCCGGCTGCGGAGAGGTGCCCCCCGCCGGGCCAGCCGCTGCCTGGGGGCTCCGACTTTCGCAGTGAGTGTCCCAGAATCCCCTGGTTGAAAGTTCTCTGAGTAAGAAGTTGACTTTGAAAGACGCAGACCTGCCCTTGGACCGTGCGGGGCGTTGGAGTGGTTGCGCGCTTCCAAGGAGCGCATTGCGTTTCTCATCCGCGGAGGGTGGTGCCCGCGTGGCCCCAGGAATCTCGCCTGCCTTGCCGAGGCAGGCGGGATCAAAAAAGGGAAATGAGAAAATCCCCTGGCGAATTTGGGAGGCAGTTCTGCCTTTCTGCCGGGACCCTGGCGCATGGCTGGGGACTGGGGTATAGATCGTGTGCTTGCTCCTCGTTGTCGTGCGCCTCGTTGTTAGGCGCGCATTTCTTTTCTATTCTCTGTTGTTTCGATGCATTGTTGGTGGCGCGCCCATGTGTTGACGCCCGCGGCGTTTCCAGGGTGCGGTTGGGATCTTGAGCGGGCGGCCCGGGCCAGCCTCGGACGGCACGGGGCGACGGGATGTGCCGGACGGCTCCCATTCGAGGCCGGGTCACTGGGAGCCCGGGGCCGATCCGATGCGGAGCGTTTAGTTGCAGGCTGGTTCAAAAGGGAACAGCACAATGTCACTGTCGCAGGCACCCCTGAATGCCTGCATATCTGTGTGGACACCTGTGTGTCCATCCAGGGCCAACTGCAGTGTATGCACATTCCTGCCTGCGACTTTCCCATCTCCCCTGTTGCACGATGAGTGAAGCCGTGCATTCAACAGCACCTGCGAGAGGCAAAACTCTGGACATCGTCCTGGCAGGCCTGAATTCATCAGAAACCGTGCTGCTCGCACTTGGCTGGGCTGCTGCAGTTCGACACAGTTTGCATCTCCGGAGGCATGCCTAATGAGTATACCTTTGAGAGTCTCTGCTCCCTAGCATTTGATGAGGAATGTGACAGAACACAGCCCTTATGTTACACAGGGCGCTTTTTCTGCTCCCTAATACAACACCGATCCCTTGTTGGAAGTTTCCTGCACAGGTCGATGGTGCTGACAGGTCTTAAAGTGGAATGTGATGCGACATGTAACACACAGCCCTTCTGGGGATAGAAACTCGAGCTGGTCTCTTTCCATGCCAGAATCCACTCTGAATACCTTCACATGTTCAGAGCAATGCAATGTACATTTATGCTTATGACATCCAGTTATGCTTAAACACACATACATACTATTCATAAACATCCATGCATATGTTTATGACTGTTCCTCTGTAGTCAAGGACAATGCGCAAATACCCAAGTGTCCCAGGGAATGGACGTAACAATTGGTTCTGCTGGAGCCACCTCCTTGCTGCATGCAGCCAGATCATTTGGTACCTTGAGTGCAAGCAGGATGCTACAGGTGGCAAGCAGTGTCTGCCAACACCGAGTCCATGTGCTTCCTCCCATCATGGACGGTTTGTTCCCATCGATGGACGATGCATCCAAAAGTGCTCTTTAACTCTCTGGCAAGCTCCAAAATTGCAGTGCTGACCCAGAGGCTGTCCATGTCCTTGCACTTGATAAATCTCGCATTGAATACAGAATGGAAAAGATCGGGCAGACGGTTACTTCATGTATACATATTTGACTTTGAATTATATGAAATATGTTTTTAACTATATGGCTGTGAGAGATGGTGTGGGGTTGTGAATGAGCGCCACTGCCATTCACGTCTGCTGACGAATGCTCTGAACTGAATTTGTTTGGCTTGCCGACGATGCAGGCATTGTTGAAAGGGAGTGCTGCCGTTCATCGAACTTCGATGCATGTGAAGCAGGTGGGTAGTGCACTGGGTTGTGTGGATTGCACTTTGTCCACTGGAGGCACACTCCATTAGGTTGCGTTTGCTTTGTGAATCAGGCTGATGTGGACTAATCGCACTCTGCCAGGCAGATGGCAACTGCCTAAGTGCACATTGTACACTCAATCAGATCGATGTCCTGTCTGTCTAGCAGATGTTCATTCCAACAGATGGACGTAAATTGTGTGTATTCAATTGCAGGCATTCTGTCTGGTAGATGCACATTTCGTTGGGTGTATGTGCAGCACAGCACCGTACTGTGAGCTCAGCATAATCCAAGTTGCTTCCTTTGTTTTGCCTCAGAAACTGTCCTTTTTTTTGACAATCTACCATCATTGATTTCTTGTGTGCTCATGGATTGTCGTTTCACAACGTGGCACCTGTGCTTGAAGCCAGTTCTGGGTTGTGGTTGCTGCTCTATCACCCTGCCACTGTGGTACATCTACAGTACTGCTTAATCGGTGGTGGCAAAAGTAATGCCAATCGGGAAGGGGTCCTGGCACAGTGCTCTCATCCGGCACCAAGCACTGAGCAGCTGGATATGGCTGCCTTTCAGTGACTTGGGTGGATATTTGCTGTTGCACTTGTCTACAGATTCAATGGTATTGGCTGTCACAGTGTTGCCTCTTTCCAGTGCCAATGGCATATGGTTGACATTCTGCACGTTGATGATGTATTTGCTAGAATTGCGTCAGCTGTCAACAACACCCCAACATTAAGGATACGCCTTCATTGATTATGACTGGTGGTGCATGCCACACCTGTTAAGCATAGGATTGTCTTTCTCCAAACTTGGGTGAAACAGTCATCTGTGGGGTTCCCGGAATCTCGATGTCCAAGAACTGTAGCCTCAATCAAGTGCAAAGACGCGGCATCCAAGACACTCACTGTTGGTGCAGTCCAGCCCCGAATGCTGCCATCTGTGTAGGTGAGTGGTGTCACATATATCTCAAATTGTGTTCTTGTGGTTTCGGTGGGCTCCTAATCGAGCGCTCAACACATCTAATTTTGACATTGTTTCACAGCCGTGACCGAGAGGGAACTACAGTCTCGCCTACAAGGCTAGTTGCTGCGCACCTTCGCCGTTTGCTTTCTTTGTGGATGTGGCACTGCCTTCAATGAGGGCAACATTCCCTGCAACAGGCAGCATGCAGCTTTGTCGCATTGTGCAGAGACGCAAGTCGGCTCTGACTGCAATTGCTTGTGAGGGGAAGAGGGGCATCCTAGTGTTTCGTGGGTGATAATGGGAAAACCTGGACTCGTTTTTCTTTTCAGTTTGGCAGTTTTCAGTTGTGAATAAACGAACAATGGGCTGACAAGGGCGTTTGGCGGCAGCATGGCGCTGGCATTGCGCCACCCTTTTTGTGGCCTCCGTGGTGCTGTGTGTTGTGCTGGGATGAGTACTGGATGAGGTCAACTGTCGAGTACAGGACAAAGTGGGCTGTGCACCATTCGGTGCTGCTCAATTGGTGTGTGGGGATAGTATGGCAAGAGCGGGATGGTTTAGCTCCATCTGCAGGAATGTGATCGCCTAGTTCAGTGTTCTTGCGGGGCTGGTGCGAATGTCGTATCGTGATCTCTAATAGATAGAGTTCTGGCGGTCATGGCCGCGTGCGACTGTGGACAACAGTCGGGTTTTGTGGTTTCGTGATAGAGGTGCGTTGTATTGGACGTCCCAAATTTGAAATTTACCAGAAATCTGAAGCGCTTGCATTTGGAATATTGGGGAAGCTGCATGCGGACCATTCGCTACTGAAAGAGTCTTCGGATGCTTGGCGATCGCTGTGCTTGCAGCTTTGCCATGTTGAACCCGACTGAACCCGACTGGAAAGTTGGCAACAGGCAACAGGGTGATTTGCTTTCGCACAGCCGTATCCCGTCACTGCATCTGGGAGGGCTGCAACGTGACCACCTGAATCTGTGCCTTGCCAGAGGAGTAAGTACAGGCACATGAGGTGGAAAACACTAGGCAGCAAGGCTCCTTGTTCGTGTGGCGACCCCGTGCTGTGCACTAATCTGCTACATGCGCATGTGGGTGTGCATGTCTGCAAGACATATCCAAGGATGAGTACAAGCAGAGGTACTCATGCAGATCGAACATGTACTGATGTTCCATGGGGAAGAAACTACCCGAGTCTGGGGACGGACGTGATGATGTTTTCTATTTGGGGAAGGGTGGGCGGGGGGGGAGGTTTTGAGAAGCCAAGGTGCAAGTGCCCACAAGGAAATGTGCATGGCTGTGCCGTGGAGGGAACGACTCAAACATGAAGACAAGACAACCCGACCTGGAGGTGAGAATCCGGGCAAAATGTGCATAGTGCCCCTGGAGTTCTGTGGATTTGGAACCTCAGCTTAGTTCAGAACATTCTCAGGAATGCCATCAAAGTCTGTCTTGGTCCACGCGGCCGTTCATCTTCATCCAGCACAACTGCAGGGGACCCTGAGCTGTGAGCAAGGGGGTGAAAGGTTGCAGCCCAACTGAAGCGGATGAAACCTGCCAACCAAACTGGCCAAACCTCAAAAGCTCAAGCCCTTGAGACAGGGGAAATCCCGAAAGCGCCTTGCGCCTTGCGACATCACCTGCTGACTGAAATGGCAGCGTCAAAGGGCCAGCCATTTGTCCAAGTGCAGAGCACGTCAATGGCTGTGACGGCAGAGTTGCCCACATCTTAAAATCACATCGACAGCACCGGAGAACTTGTGCTTCGGAAGCATGGAATCCAGGGAAATCATGTGCATGAAATATACCTTTGTATTTTCGTTACAAAGATAACCGATGAGGAATTGCACGCCCCACGCGAGTTCAAATGGTGTTGTTGCGGTATCGTATAGTCTTGCCCATTTGTGCGCGCACGGCCAGTTCGCCCCGATTCAAACTCCTGGGGAATGTTGCGATCGCGTGGGCAACTGGCCAGCCGTCGTGCAGGCGACGCTCACAACCATACTCTTGGACCGCACAAGGACACCCATTCCCGCACCTCTGCTCATGGGTCCAACCGAGTGCTGTCCTGGCCTCTTTCCCTTCGGTTCCGATACATTTTTAGCCCCCTGCCGACCAGCGATTGCACGTCTTTTCCGCTCCACGGGCCGCTGTATGCAGCGCAATGCCTTGCCGCGCTCCCAGGCTTCTGCCCCCTTTTCCGCAAGATGGAAAACAGCCTCGCAACACTTCAAAGTTGGGAGGAGTACGCTCATTAAAGGTCGCGTTCCCCTTTCTGCCAAAACTCTCAGAAAGCCGCAACGGCAGAGGACGGTCTTCGCTGCACGGCGCCATGGGCCGCCGCAGACTCGGGGGTCATCGAAACATCAGCTGTGAATGATGAATGAATGAATGAATGAATGATATCCAGTTACAGGTTAACCGATACAAATGCACCAGGGTGCACACTGCACAGCGCTTACACGCACACGGTGATGTCGCTTGTCGCTGTTGATATCCTTTGTTCACCACACACTCATGACCCAGATGCTAGGTGTTCCACCACTCCCCCGTTCCCCTCTTGCAGAGCGACTCAAGACCGCTTGGCCCTACATTCCTATCATAAGCTCTGAAACCGTCACAGTGCTTACAATGCCTACAATGCCTACACACTAGCAAAAAACGGACCAATAACACTTTCTGCGAACACATATGCGTGCATTCCATCAGTGTTCTTCACGCTGAAAACACGAAAATAACCCAAACACACAAACTTTGTACACGTTTGAACACATTTTATTTGGCCCTTTTTTTCCTAGTGACACTGTCTACAATGCCTGCCATGCCTACAATGCTTGCAAGCGCGACAGTTTCTCACCCACAGCCTCTCGCCATCCCATCCGAGGTTGGCCTCCAACAGCCAGCACTTGTCGCCCGCCGATCTGCCCCCGACCCGCCCGGGGCCCCAAAAAACGCGCACAAGACTGCCAGGGAAAGCGGTCGCCACATCCTCGCGTGCCTTGCCATCCAGCTTTCCTTGGGATCCACGAACTCCTTGGGTTTCTTGCTCAAACAACCGAGGGCGTGCCGGCGAAGGAGACCGAGGCTGACACAAAGGTGGATCGCGATTGGGCGTCTGACTTAAGGGCCAACATGCCTAAGCCCTAAAACCTAATTCAGAAGTACGACCAAACGCCCAATCGCGACCCGTCTCCACGTCAGTGGTACGTGTCCGTATCTGCAGAGTGTGCACTCAGCTTGGCGCAGCTGGGGCTCTAGAATCTGTAGAGACACAAGCAGGTTTATTGTGTCCCTGGCTGGTGGCGACCATGCCCTTGAGTTTGATGAGCTTGGCGCGATGTCCTTGATATTGGCGCGGTTGGAATCCAGCTTGGCGAGATCCGCAGATCTTGGAAGCCCCGTGTCCAGTCGCCAATAAACGGGACACATCGGAACGCCAATGATATCACTCAGTTGGCGAGACTTGGGATCCAGAAATGTTGGGAGATGTCGGCAACCTCAGCACCTTCGCCACACCAATTGCCATCCAGCAGGCTGGCGCTCAGTGAGACGGAAAGAACGGTATTTCCGTATTAGCAAAAATTTCTGGTGCACCCCTAGTTGACGTTCAGAGAGTACCCCAAAAATATCAATTAGGGGTGCTCCAGAATTTTTTGCTCACACAAGAACAAGGCACTCAGAACGCAGGGAGACGACTTCAATATTGAAGTCATTAATGTCATTAACGACAAAGCGAGACAGCGGCAGCTTCATCTCACACCCAAAGAGTGCCCAAAAAATACAGCAAAAGTGCCGAAAACAGTGCCAGTACGTGGCAGCGCGTCATATGGGCAGACCGGAGTCAGACAAGCCTCCAAAAGACGCAAAATACAGAGGAGCACCAAAGTCGTTGCTGGGCGCGTGCGATTGCTTAGGGGCTTCCCGCCTGGCGGTCTGCCACGGAGCTGGGTGAGATGGCGTAGGAGGGGCGCGTGGAGGCGCCGCGTCGCTGACTGATGGGGACATTGCTTGGTTTTCTGATCGCGGGAAGTAGCAC